TCGGAAGTAGACTTATCTCCCGATAGTTGTTGCAGAAACGACGTTAACCCTTTTTAAAGATAGGGACAACTATCACCTCATTCTACGATGTTAAAACACTAATGCCCAGACCTTTGTAAACAGCTCGGTCAGTTTCTTAACCAGAAAGTCGCCACCATCTTTAAAAAGGCCAAAGGTAAGTCATCTTGGTCTGGTGATTTGTGGCGCATCAGGAGTTGGAGTTCCTTGATCAGTCGTCACCGGTCATAATGGGAGGAACAGTCTGATCGAGAAACTTGTTCTTTTAGGTCCTACCATGCTAAGCGATAGCTTAATGGCTTTAAGGTGTTCGACTTTTGGCCGCCAAGTTCCAAATTCAAGCCCCGCTCCATCTAGTTCAATCTGGGCAACCAAATAGTATCATTAGCCTCACACATATAGATTGTGGTTCGTTCCCGAATCATCAAGTGTATACAGTCTTCCCACAACGAAAGGGGGGTTTAGACAAGGTCAACCCTTGAAATATTTGAATGACAACTACTCAGTATTTGTTTTACTGGGAGAAGTACATATTATGCCATACGAAAATAGTATATATATGGTTCGTAGTGTGAATAAGCTGACCAAATCAGATACTTTTGGATTGAATAGTAGAGTTTAGTTATCTATAGTTCACATAATATTAAAGTTTCTTTAGTTGTTGGCTATAGTACTCTGATCATCATCCTTTTGCAGTCACAATATTACAAGGAATATTTTTTTACCATCTATTCATCATAGGTTTTTCTTAGTTTTGACTAGACATATGTTGTTATCAATCGGTAATATTTCATTATCTTTTTGTATATATATATATATACATTCTAGTTGAATCGGATCGATTTCATTTGTCGTGCACATCAATTAGTTATGGAAGGTTATCGTTGGCATTTTCATGAAAGTGTTCTTACTGTATGGTCTGCTCCAAATTATTGTTATCGTTGTGGTAATGTTGCCGCTATTTTACGTTTAAATGAAAGATTAGACAAGGAATTTTCCATATTTGAAGCCGCACCACAGGTAATTCATATACATATCTATATTTCACTGTTATATTACATACAAATCGAACTCTAGTCGTTGTAGGATACAACGATTCAATTTTATTGATCGATAAATTCCGTATAATCAACACGTTTAATGAGTAACAATAGCAGTACGCTTTTTTATGTTTTGATGTAAAGTGTTTTGAAGACTAGTCAATTAATTTATAATATGATTCTAAAAGTAGTCATATGGGTTATAGACAATTATTATTATTTAAACACATAAACATTGGTACAAGGAGGCACCAAATAGGTATGCGCCACATAAGTCATTCTATTCGTGTGAGGGCTGAGATACTGCACGGGTGCCCAGACCGAAGCAGGTGATTTTCTTAGGGGACCACACCCCGAGCCTTGGACCTGAAGGTCTGACCCACAAGGCAATGGAGTATCGTGAGGAGATGCAGTCCCATGGTAGCCGGTGACCAACGGTTGGTTCATACGCCATTTGTTCCCGTAGGATACTGGAGCCCATGTGCACCATTGGTTTGGAATCCGGTTAAAACGCCGGACATTCGCTTTTCGTCTTCTCAATTTCGTAATTAACACCCGACACGAGAAGGCAGTGAGTAGTACTTCCCTGGCAGAGGCTGTATACGGGTGGCCGTGTGAGAGCATTTCGAGAGGGAGGGCTGGCCCACCCCACTCTCGGCCATACCAGGGGATTTGGGGGCTATAGAAAATAAATTTTCCAAATGAAATTTCTTAAGATATTTCTCCTATAAATTCATTAGGTACTAAGTGTTTGTTATGAATACCATCTTGGTTAAAACGATGAATAGAATGCTACTGATCATTATATAATGTATATTGATATGATGCAATCAACTGATAATTATTCACAAGCCTAAGTTACTAACACAAGTTCCATAACATAATTTATATTAGTAAAAATGGCATACAAAATATATGTTTATAGGTCACCGAATATATGGGGAATACAATTTGTTTTTTTTTAGTTTATTCACGTGACATTCAAAGGATGGTCTGATAATAGGACCTAATTATTGTTTATCACTCTACATTTCTCATGAAATAAGATAGTAACTGTTTATGACAATCTGTTTTTTTTTTAAAATTTACTTTACGGCTGCGAAACGTGACCATTAAAAGTTGAAGATATTCGTAAGCTACTAGTAACTGACCACAGATGCCTTAGAAATATTGCTGGCGTCTGCTGGGATCACCGGGTAAATAATAGTGAGGTTAGACGCAGGGTATTAGGAAATGATGGTAAATCAGTTGATGAGGTTATGAATTTTCATCGACTGAGATGGTTAGGCCACGTGTTGCGCATGCCTGAACACCGATTACCACGATACGCAATGCTAACTGGTGTTCGGGATGGTTGGAAGAAAGTTAGGGGCGGCCAAACCAAAACGTGGTATCAGTGCTTGAAGTCACTAACTTCTAGTCTGAGCCATGTTGGTAGGTACAAACTACTTGGTTGGGGTCCGCGTGACTATCTTAATCAATGGTCCGAGACTGTGACAAGGCTCAGAATCGATCACGATGGCGTAGGTGTATACACCGTTTGTCTTCCTTTAAACTGTGAGATTTAAAATAGCTTTATATCTTTCTTTCTACTAACTAATTCTTTCTTCCTGTACTATATCCTTATATGCAATCTTTCATATATTACACCATTGAGTTAACTGCTTCTATGAATCCGGTGTTCGTCTTGCTGTTGTAATGAGGTGTGGCAACTTAGACCGATACATATATGTGCCTGGTCCTACGTTGTAGCTGACTGTTTTTTTAAAATTTGGTTTCTCTTTATAAATCATGATGCTACTGATTCAAATCTCATCAAAGGAATCTTGTGTCACTACTTGATTTCCACATCTCCATCGATCCCTCAATCTATGTGGAAAACTTGCTACATTTATAGCTTCTAAGGTCTGATTAGTTGTCGACTCAGATGAAAATTAAAATGCCTAAACCCTGAAGTTAATTAACTTCTTTGAAGTGCTGACATCTATACTCTACCATATACATTTTTATGTACCCGCTTGGTTCTACGTTGTAGCTGAGTGACTCGTCTTTAATATCACTCTAATTGTGTAAAGGTTGCTCATACTCTTCAGCTTTGTTGACAGCGACTAATCTTTATCACCCTTTCAGTTAGTGCGCTTCGGTTTAGATTTAAAATAAGATCATCTTAACAGGGTATTTTTCATGAAAGGATAATCAGTTGATAAAATATCCCAATGACTATTGTTAACGAATGAATAATTTAGTATAAAAACTGAACCTCAAATTTCAACTGATTGAAGTAGTACGAGTATAAGTTAGTTATCAAGCAATTAATAAAGATCAGAGGGAAACCGATAAGATTGCAATTGTGTCCATCATCTCAAGTGTATTATTCGTAATAGGGTAACTTATCAAACTAGTTTCTAGTTATTTGCCACATCATATCAACTTGGAAAAACTTGTCTACTGAGTGACCCAGCCGCTCGTAGTTACTGATACGTCGACTATGTTGTTGACTAGAATTGTAAACCCGTTTCTCATGGCATCTCTACAATCCCAATGCACCTTTTTTTGCATCAGCTGATTAGCTACTTGTGGTTGGAAATTCATGTATAACAAGTTTATGTAGCTCTGAAAGTGCTATAATCCAAGTCATTATAATTAGTCGTCCTTCACATGCAACAACTGTTACTTGTAGAATTTGAGGAATCACGACATATTGATTATGTTCAGAATGTTAGACAACAGTTAATCGGCAACATTGTTATAACCGGCAGTCGTTACTGATTTGTATTTCTTGTCGAAATTACAGCTCGATGATGCTGTTACCCAACATTTTATTTGCATGGTCCTATCGACTGAGGTTCTTAATTCATTGTACCGGAGATTTTTTTTACACTAAGAAACACAGCTTTTTCTGTCAGGAGTTCCTCACACGATCTAAATTAGAGAGTTTACATGTCGCTTAAAATCTATCTTTATCACCCTTCTGCTTGGTCGGAGTAGATTAAAGTAACATCAGATAGAGATATCCATTTCACATTTTTCCTCTTTGACCGATGTAAGGCGTACCAGTCATTAACCGTTTTATCAAGCATCGATCTTTCATAACAAGTTTTTACGACATTCAAGCAGGTAACGATAAAAGCCCCTACTTCATTGGTTGGTATAATTCGAAAAAAAACTTTGTCTCCAAGTCATTTTCTTTAACCGTAAAGCATTTTCTATAGCTTACTCCCGAGTTTTGGAGCTCCATGTCCCGTGAATTAGGCCACACATAGACGTCTCATGCTTTACAAATAATGTAACCTTATTGTATAAGAAGGGTATCCTGCTAGAGTTTATAGCTAGAAGAATTTCTGTAGATTGCTTGGTAATAATGGTCTTCATTTTTTATCATAACTTTATTACAGGATGTCCGGAGTATACCAGCTCGTCGACCAATACCAGACTATTTCCTTTGAAGCATATGAAACAAAGTCATTTTGTTCTCAATGATGATGATGATAATTACTGTTATTATTTCCCTTGTTTATAAGCCCTTCTCACCCCCCTTTTGTCAATTTTTGTAATTTTACTTCTATTTATCAGTGTGTTTTATAAAATGTATTTCTTCCCCCCTTCTCAATACTCAACTATTCCAAGATTCATTCATGCATTGTTTATAACTTTTTTGTTTTGTTTTGTTTTTTGATACCCACAGTCAAACAAATTGCATTCTACTAAGTTTTTTCTATTATTAAGTGTGAAGGGAGTTTCTATTTGTGTATAACAATATCCATTTGGAAAAAGAGAAAGTTTTCTTTAAAGAAAATAACGTATATATATATATATTATTATTGTTCATTAGATGTAAATTATACTGAATATGCAAAGTATAAATAAAAGAAAAGAAAAGAAATTAATGTCTCAGGGAATCATCATCTGTCTTCTTTTCCTTCTTGTTTTTGTTGTTTCATTTTACCATTGTGCATTTCTTAATTCAGCAACTAATTTAATAAAATCACGATGACTTGCATAAAGTTGTAGATCAGAATTAATATCTGTCCAACGTACAGCATCTGCATCATCACCTATTTGATTATGATAATGTAGGGGGGGGGATTAAGAAAGATATTTTCTCTTTTATTTTGCTAGTAAATCTGTTTGTTTATCAATAAGTAATAAGTGTAAGTTATATGGATCGTTGGAAGAGGGGGGATATTTATTTTCAGAATGGGTTTTGTGGAGATTTTAGAAATTTCACAAATTGAAATCATGAGTCAGTTGAAGCTAGACCACCATGGAAAACCTGGGAGCACTGGACGGCCGTTTCGTCCTAGTATGGGACTCCTCAGCAGTGTGCGCCCACGATCCCGCACCGCACGGGGCTCGAACCCAGGACCTACTGGCTTCGCGCGCGAGCACTTGACCATTAGACCACTGAGCCGGCACCCAACGGTGTTAATGTCTAACTTCAACCAATCCACGAAGTTACGCCACCATATACCATTGTCTTCAGTGAGCTGATGTCTCACAACAGACCTGGTTGTACTCCACTGGTAACGGCTTCCCACTAGAACTCCAGGAGTATCTCTTGAAGTCAGTCACTAGTGGGCAGATGATTATTATCCTACTACGTACCACTAAGGATGAGTGTAGGTATAGGCTCCTGCCAGTCTCGTAAAATTACTTTGCACTTAAAAGGTGCAGGGCACATACTGTCCTTGCGGACACTGATTGACGACTGACGAAGTGCAGATTACGTGAAATCATCTCAAAGCCGAAAGATCTATCTGCAGGTAACTGACCGGCACCATTATCTATTTTTGCCAGAGCTATTTGCAGAATGCGATTGACGGCAAAGTCGAAGGAGAATACTGAGGTCGGATAACACTGTCTAACCCGACTGCTTGGATGGGGCAACAGAGAGAGGTGGTAGTGAAGAGGCTTCAAGATGTTAATAAACTCTCCAGATGTGTTGGAGAAGGGGACATGCCTGTGGCTAAGCGTAGTGCAGCAGCAGCTCAGTGGTTCGACTTCCAGCCACTAAGTCTCGGGTTTAAACTCCGCCCCTCTACTGTGGTTCGAGCAACAGGGTGGTATTACTACCTCACAACTACGTATATGGGTTAGTGAGTGAAAAATAACCAAAATTGAACGGTAGGTCTCATTCAAACAACAATGTGGTTAAGTTTAAATTAGCATATACATGCGCTTGGGATGGAAGCTGCTGCTACACAGAACACAGATGTGGTTATTGTTGAATAAGTAGTAAGCATAGTGCTAACAGGCTGAAAATCAACTGAAAAACATTAGTTTATGAAATATTTCCAACGGGCAGGATTTTTGGAACCGGTTTTTTAAAATATTTGAAAATGAGAATCAGATTACGAAAGCATTGTCAACGTAGACCCTCTGAACCTTATCACTAACCCTCAGTCATATACATAGTTCATAAAAGAATGATAAAGATGTAAATGAAGAAGTTTGACAGTGTTTTAATCACGGTATTTTTCTAAACACCACTTGACTGATGTATACACAGTGTATGGAAATGATCACCAAACTTACATCCCAGTGGAAAGAGTCTCACGTATATTTTACGACAACGCTATTCGTTGAGGGTAGTGGACATAGGATCGGAAGTTGAATTTAGGAAAGAAAACTAACGGTAAATTAATGTTTAACAGACTACCGCTTAAGTGCTATGCTATTATTGTAGATATTGTTTAACAGGTTGAATACGATAGTTTGAAACTAAGAATAACATCAAGAATAAATAAAACTGAACATGATCTACCTGCAGTTAATGGAAATAACGCTAGACAATTGCCAACTTCATCGTGAAAATTTACTGCCACAGTTTCCATCCATGCATTATCTGTATTACGTGGATCATCCACATAACCCTTATAAATCTATATCAAGGTATACATTAATGAAAGATTAAAAGAAAACCCTGTAAATTATGAATATTTATCATCAGTGAATAATTTACAAAATGATAATGATTCAAAATACTTTGTTGAAAAAACGTTTGGTAAAGTACTGGTTAAATCTTATTAGAAGGGATTTTGTGGATATTATAGTAATTTTGGTAGTTGAGATCATGAGTCAATTGAAGCTAGATCACCATAGAAAAGCTGAAAGCACTGGACGGCCATTTCGTTCTACTGTGGCAGTGCGCATCCACGATCCCACCTCACCAGATTTGAACCCAGGTTTATTGATATGTCCTCACATGAAATCATACAGAAGAGAAAGGCGTAGTATGTTGGAGAAGTTTAGACGGCTCATATGCTGTTGGAAGGTTTGTGGAGGATTTTGTGTGAATGAGAGGATTATTTGTCTAGACAGATTGATTACCCACATATTCCTGTCTGCATTAGTCTAGTATCGTACATAAACGCATAGCTTGTGTATATTTACTGTCTAACTTTCGGCCTCTAATGAACTGTTAGTCTGTGTAAGTGTTAGGAAACATTGAACAGTCGAACATAACAATTGAATATCTAGTTAATATAAACAAGTGTCAGTTGGGAAACATCTATTCTAGATGTTTATAGCTGAGTGGGCATCATCAAATCAAATTTGGTCATATTCAGATAATAACAACCAGGAATTTGAACTCTATTCCCACACAGAAGATTTATGATTTTGTTCACTGACAGCCACAGTATACGTGAACAATCGATTACTTGGGCAAGAGAATTTCATCCGATATAATCAAATTAGAACACTAGAATAAGCGACTAAGTCATCTTAATTTATTTCTCAACATACTATAAATACTAAATCTTAATATATGCAAAATTAAGATATTTGCTTAACAATTTTTACGACTAATGAACTTATAACTTATGAGAGGTAAAATATCTAAGATCAATTAATCTATAATTAACTTTAAAATAACTTCATTTACAGTCAGTCAGTTACAGCGTAGGACCAGGCACATTTATGCATCTGTCCAAGTTGCCATATCTGATTAGCACAACAAGATGAATATCAAATTCATAAAAGTAGTTAATTCAATAGTGATAATATATGAAAGAAAGGTTGCATCTAAAGAGAGAGTGTAGGAAGAAATAGACAATTCGTAGAAAGAAAGATATAAAGCAATTATAATCTCATAGTTTAAGGGAAAACGGAGAGTGTATACACCTACACCATTGTGATCGATTCAGAAACATGTCACCAAGAGTCTCCAACCATTGGTTACGATAGTTCTGCGGATCCCAACCAAGTAGTTTGTATTTAACAACATGGCTCAAACTAGAAGTTAGTGACTTAAAGGTCTGATGCCATGTTTTGGTTTGGCCGCCTCTACTTTCAAATTATCAACGATTCGCTTAATCTACCACAAATAGAACCAACAATCGATGATCTTATGGACGGATGTGCTTTGTTTATATTTAGCAGCCTCTAGCTTCTTTATAACGCTTTATGTTAGCTAGCTTAACTTATCAGAGTAAATAATAGTTTGTCATGTGTAACATAATCCTAACCACTTGAGCTGATCAAGATCCATAAACCTAGCAATTGAATTATCATCTCTATCAAGTGCCCTCCAAACTTGATGTCAGAATTATTCACTTTATCCATTATCAACAGTGGATTGAAGGTAGTGTTTATAATCAAATATATTAACAGATAAACCAAATCTTTATTTTTTCAAAGACTATCCTTCACAATAGTAAACTAAACACAATAGACTGTTTGTTATGTAGTATTCATATTTATTTATTTATTTGAAAATAAAAATATTGGTACAAAGGAGCAACGAATACATATGCGCCATACAAGTCATTTGATTTGTGTATGGGCTATGATACTGCCCGGGTACCCAGACCGAGGCAGGTTGTTCTCTTAGGGGACCACACTCCGAGCCTTCGACCTAAGGGTCTGATCCACAAGGCGATGGGGCATCGTGAGGAGATGCAGTCGCATTGTAGCCGGTGACCAACAATTAGTTCATACACCATTTGTTCCTTCAGGATCCTGGAGCCCATGTGCAATAATGGTTTGGAATCAGGGTTTTCCAACTCCACTAGGTGGATCCTCTGTATCCACCAGCCCGGTTAAATGGCCGGATATTCGCTTTTCGTCCTCTCAATTTCGCAAACAACACCCCGCCGCAAGTGGGCAGTGAGTAGGACTTTCTTGTCAGTGGCTGTAAATGCGTGGCCATGTGAGAGCATTTGGAGAGAGGTGAGTCTCCCCACTCTCGACCCTGCCAGAATCGATTTATTTGGATCTGCACTAAAAAAATGACATAAGTCAAGTGAACTCTCCTGTTTATATAGACTTGAACGATTCATCAACTATTTAACCAGCACATTAAAGATGTGTGACGAAAATTTTAAACTAATAAAACTCTAATAGCAGAGATCATGAGTCAGTTGAGGCTAGACCACCATGGAAAACCTGGAAACACTGGACAGTTGTTCCGTCCTATCGTGGGACTCCTCAGTAGTGCACATCCACGATCCGGTCTAGCGAGATCTGAAACCAGCACCTATCAGTCTTCCAGGTTTTCTATGGTGATCTAGCTCCAATTGACTTATGAATTCAACTATTGAAATTACTATAATATCTATAAAAAACCCTTGTGATATTAATCAACATATTCTCACTAGCGACTGGCTTCAAGTGGTATTTCCTGGAGTTCTAGTGAGAAGCAGTGGCCAGTGGAGTTCAACTGGGTCTGTTGTGAGATAATAACTCACTGATGACAATGGTGAATGTGTTGCTCAATTTCGTAGATTATTTGAAGATAGACATTAAGACTGCTGGATGCCGACAGGTTCAGCGTTCTCACACACGAGACTGATAAGTCCTGGGTTCAAATTTTGCGAGACGGGATCACGGATACGCACTGCCACTAAGAAGTCTCATAATAAGACGAAACGGTCATCCAATACTTCCAGGTTTTCCATGATGGTGATCTAGCTTCAATTGATTCATGATCTCAACTATTATAAAATTACTATAATATCCATCTATAGAAAACCCTTTCTGATATTAAAAATTTTATAAAACATCATAGTAAACAACTAATCAATATAAAATACAAATAAACAAACACACACACACACAACTATCAAATATTTTAAAAAAGATTAGTTAACTTATAGCACATAATCAACTCTATTTATTTAAATAGAAAGAACAATATATCACTCTCCCTCTGTCTCTCTCTCTCTATGATATAGATTAGTATATGGAATAGATTATTATTATTATCATCACAAAAAGTACATTTAAATACCAGAAGAAAATAAAAAATAAAAAATTTTTTAAATTAGTTTCGACAGAAAAACTTTCATTCATTTAGTTTCTATGCAGATTTTTTTAATGTACTTTTGTTTAAATAGTATTATGTGTATATATTATTTTTTTAAAAGAAATAATAACTTTAATGAAAATCTCTACTATCCAGCACACGGGATTCAATCCCAAGGACTTTTGATCTCGCGCACGAACGTTTCAACGATGGTCAACTCATGAATTCAACTGTTAAAATACGACACTCTCTACAAATCCCCATACTGATAATACTTATGTGCTTATTAGTGACTAGCTTTAAGATGGATTTCCTAGAGTTTTAGTGAGAAGCCGTAACCAATGAAATCTAATCGGTGTCGGGTGTGAGAAAGTTATCCACTTTAGACAATGGATGAAGTTAGACATTAACACTGTTGGATACTGGCTTAGTAGTTTAGAGGTTAAATGTCAGTGCACGAGACCAGAGGTCCTGAGTTCGAGTCCCACGTGTGGAATTATGGATGTGCACTGTTGAGGAGTTCTGTAATAGGACGGAGAGATCATCCAGTGCTTCAAGGTTTTTTTAATGGTGATCTGGCTTAGATCAACTCATTAATTAAACGGTTAGCTGTTAAATTTATATAAGAAAAAAAAGTGATTGGTAAAAGTATGTTTGATTGATGAGTTAATCAGATAATAACTATAACTTATGAATTTTTGAAGGTAATTCTTGAAGGTTCTTGATATTTCGAAAGAACGATTACAAACTTTATGTTTTTGGGTTCTTATGTAATATGTTATTTATTCATATCAAGTGCATGCTGATTGATTAAAAATGACTTTACTCTGACATGGTCATTTTAAGAGTTGTTAGAGGTCTATCAGTGAAGTAGGTTTTTACCACGTAGTCCAAATCAGTCAGTAAGTCAGCTACAACGTAGGACCAGGCACATTTATGCATCGGTCCAAGTTGCCATACCTCATTAACACAACAAGATGGACACCAGATTCATAAAAGTAGTTAATTCAGAGGTGGTAATGTATAAGAGACAGATTGCATATAAGGATATAGTACAGGAAGAAAGAATTAGTTCGTAGAAAGAAAGATATGAAGTGATGTTAATCTCTTAGTTTAAGGGAAGACAGGGAGTGTATACACCGACGCCATTGTGATCGATTCTGAGCCATGTCACCGAGAGTCTCCAACCATTGGTTACGACAGTCACGCGGACCCCAACCAAGTAGTCTGTATCTACCAACATGACTCAGACTAGAAGTTAGTGACTTCAAGCACTGATGCCATGTTTTGGTTTGGCCGCCCCTAACCTTCTTCCAACCATCCCGAACGCCGGTTAGCATTGCACGTCGTGGTAATCGGTGTTCAGGCATACGTAACACGTGGCCCAACCATCTCAGTCGATGAAGATTAACAACCTCATCAACTGATTTACCATCATTCCCTAATACCCTGTGTCGAACCTCACTATTACTTACCCGGCGATCCCAACAGACGCCAGCAATATTTCTAAGGCATCTGTAGTCAAATACTAGTAGCTTACGGTGTCTTCTACTCTTAATGGCCATATTTCGCTGCCGTAAAGTAAAACAGGACGGACTGCCGCGCGGTATACTCGTCCTTTTATTGATAGACGGATATCTCGCCTTCGCCAAAGGTGACGTAAGTTGTCAAACGCCAAGCGAGCTTTTTGAATCCGTGCTGAGATTTCGTCAGACACCAACCCATTAGGGCTGATCAGACTTCCAAGATAAGTGAAGTTGTCAACTCATGAATTACTGATAACTATGCAATATCGGATGTTTGTTATAGCCTTGTGTTTAGGACTTCTTAGTAGTGTGGATTCACGAATCAGTACAGGAGATTGGGCAGAATATCATCACGTCTAGTCGGCAAAAAATGATATACCAACACCATCGAGCCAGAATTTCTAACTTAAATTAATCCATACAATTTACAGCAACGATGGACATGGATACATATTTCTACACAATAATCATATGTTTACTAGTGACCAACTGTGGGGGATTAGTTCACCGAAGTTTTTGACGATAGCTATTGTCGGTGCAGTTCCTTGTTGGGTTAGGATAATTATCATCAATAGTCATCAAATGAACATTGAGTACTAAAGTAAATTGGACTATGAGGGCTAGTGACAATACCCGACTGTTCAGATACAAGTAGGTACAGAGGGATTCAAATCTAGAACCCAATTAGGTGAAAGTGGTGTGAGCCTTAAGAACTGAACCTTAGTTATATACATTCTCATTAATCTATCATGAGTTTGTGAGCATGGAGTGTACTGCAGTTCACACAACAAGACGAAACCTAGAACTTTCACGTCTCGTCGCACGAGGACAACACTTTTACAGGTTGATAAGTCAGAATAAAGTACTTTACCTTTTTTAAACTTGATTCAATCTATGACACACTGCAAGTATCATTAAATGTGATATCAGTGACAACTGTCTCATTTCTGGATGAACAGCATTGCTGAACTGCAGAGGACCATTGTAATCAAGTGATGAGCAGTCCATTTATTTATTTATTTATGGGATTAACTAACAAATCACAATTTACAAAATTGAAGAAATATGTTACACAATTAAATAAACTGGGTATCTTTTAGAAGTACCTACACAATTCTCTTCTCCGGGCCAATACTTACTTCAACTCCATGATGAAAAGCATCATCAACACGTTTTACGATCGCTTCTAATTCTTTTGGTGAAGCTGTTGTAGAATTTAAAGCTTCTTCAGAAAATTCCCTTTTTAACGTAGATGTATAATTTTCACCAGCGTCTACCATACCCTTAACACAACAATAAAATATAATTCTTATTAAGACTATGAAGTAGTTAGAGTGAGTATTAGATTTGCATATGCTTGTACTATTAAATAAGTGATTGAACAATACTGACATTAGGGGTACAGTGACAAGGAAAGATAACGAAATGTTTAGTTCAAATGTGAACATTTATCGACTGAGATAGTTAGGATATTTCGTCTACGCTGACATGATTAATTCATTAATAAAGCATAAATTAATGTGCTTGGATTGAACTACACTCTAAATGCTAGAGCTAATGATACTACTCAGCTGTCCAAACCAAAGTAGATAGTGTGTGGTTAGAACCTATGACTTCGTGACCATAGTTTGAAAGCCTTAACTACTGAATAGCGCAGCTTGATTCTGTGACACAGCCACATAGATGATAATAAGAACACCAGAATTCCTTAAATATAATTTTAAATCTTTTAATTCATTTCATTTCAATTTTCACCATCATCAGGTTTAACCTATTTATAAGCCTTCAAGCCTACATCTTAAAAGGGACTATTCCCTATGACACCCCTGTTTTTTCAAAAATATTTCGAATAGATAGAGTCGCAGACATTAATCTTAGAAATATCTGATAGGTTACGTTATAAATCATTCTTATATTTGAATATGGTAATCATTATAACATTAATGAGAGTCTTCTATAATTCCTTAGAAAAGCCAGAGAAATTGTTGACAACACTCTGAACAATCAAAGTCCTTTGAAAATGTCGTAGAGAAATTTAGAAAATAAGTAGTTGGAATTCCTTTTATATCCTGATTGGATGATTCCTAAATTAGTAAGCAAAATAATCTTTATAACTAAGTATTTGTCTTTTAAATTACATTTAATATATCAGTCATTAACAACGTAGAACTTCGTACGTCCGTACGTACGTACATACATCAGTTCGAGTTGCCATACCACATTAGCGCAGAGATGCAGTTGTCCATTCAAATCCCATAGGGGTAGAGATAGTAAGAGTATAAGCAGTAATCCGAAAGACTAGGGTTTGAAGATATTATCCAAGGAGTATAATCCGGTGAAATAAATTTGGAAAGAGAAAAAAGAAAGGGACATCAAAAATTCAGAAGATTAGAATTTGAGAGAACACAAAGAGTGAATACACACCTGCGCAAACTATTGTAAACGATTTTGAGTCATGTCATTCAAGGTCTCTAACCATCGGTTGCCCGTAACAGTGCACGAGATCAAGTTGGTCACAATCAAATCCTTCCTAAATTTAATATATCAAGTTATTCTATAAATTCTCTAAAGAAATCAATAGGGATCGTATTACAATGTGATGATTCAGTAATGAAATAATTTTCTTTCTTGAACAAAACAGGAAAAATATGCAGATTACAAGATAAGTTTACTTATAGTATAGGAATTGAGGAACTGTATGGAGTTCACAAGAATTCATATGACCATAATCTTAACTCTATTATTTATGATAAAGGGTAGTATTTAAGTAATAATGATACACTTCCCTACCACAAAGGCAGAATCAATAAACTAGTATTAAGCAATAAGGTAAGAAAGTGTAAACGTCAATGAATCATTCGAAGAGAAGTAGGGACCCATTATTCAATACATAGTTTATCTAATCAATACAAGACAAACCAACATCAGAATTGAGGAAATATATACCGGATCTACTTATGGAGATATAATGGACGATCAACCTTCTATATTGATAAAAACATAGAATACATAATGTCACTTGTGTTTTATTATTTAGATAAGTGATAAACTAAATATTAGGAAATTGTTTATGTACACGACTTGGGCATAGCGTAAAACAACTAGACGACTAAAGAACATGAGTTCTGAGAACTTCCGAGGATATTCTGAATAATGAAAAAGGAGACAGAACAACTGTATCACCATAGATGAAAAGTGACATTTAGATTATGAGTAAGGTGTATTCTAAATTTCAAAAAATAAATGCCTGTTTTATATTATGATATAAATATATAAACTTAACAGAATATAATTTGTCTTACCCCAGGGATGGCCCATTGACCAGAATCTTTCCGACGAATAGAAACAAACTGAAGAATTGGACGTCCAGTAGTCTTATTTAAACATCGACTACCTGAGTTGTCAATCTTCCATCTGCATTAATTTTGTTTCCATGGAACAAAAAGAAAACATTTATCGCCTCGAAGAAAACTAGCAATATTGTAATTGTAATAATCGCCTCAAAAAATACATCATCAACTAAGTAAGGGAGGATTTTCTTTTCATAAATAAGATGTTAGACCACCATTAAAAAAACATGGAAGCACTGAACAGCCGTTTCATCCTATTGTGGGACTCCTCACAGTGCTCAATCAAAAACTTAATGATCTCCACAACCCTATACTAATAACTTTTTTTGATCTAATGAATCAGTGTAGAATAAGCATATGATAGAGTTGACCAATCATGGACAACATACGACTTGGGAAAAATATAGTTGGTGTCGCTAAACAAGTAGCAGTAATAGTATATTATTTGCAGTGGGAAACTAAGAATTTGAAATATAGTTTAAAATGGAACTTGTATAGTTGAATAGAATGGAATAATATTCAGACCAAGATTTAAGAGAAGGATAGAGAATAAATGAGATTACTTTATTGTTTGAGACTTCGAATTATAAAATTGACTGAGAGGTAGTTCAGCAGTTACAGGATTCGACTTTCAGCTATTAAGTCGTAGGTTCAAACTCCATTTCACTTAATTTGGTGTGAACAACTGGGTAGTATTACTTACCTTTACATTTAGAGTATGGGTTAAAACCTAGTAAAAAAACCTGTATCTGGTACATGAGTTAATGAAAAACAAAAAATTATCATTATAATATACACTCCAACCAACTGTCACAACTGCATTTATTATCATTCTACAACATAAGAGGTTCACTTATATTGTAGTCAGCATTTTGAGTTCGATACCATAATTTGACTATTGAATTTACTTTTAGAGTACATACAACTCACTCACTATACTAGAAGATCTGATAGATTTTAATTGATTATTGTAATAAAGGTGAGTTTCAATTGAAGACAAAATTTGGGATACTAAGGGTCTAATGTATACATTGGATAATAGCATCAAAACATACTGTTTGAAGACATTACGAGATCACCTAAAATTGACGAACGAAAGAAGGATCAGCGACATAACAACAAGACAAGCTAAATATTCCAATGTGTCTCAGCCTCGCTAACTAGAGAGAGATGTCCAGGTCCAGAAGAAGGAAAGTATATTCCACAAGCGGTCAGAAGCGTGAACAAGCAAGCAAACAACTCAAGCATATATACAGAATAAAAAGGTCCTTGGGAAACGTCACAAATAGCGTATTAAAAGAGGCAACGAACCATTAACACATAGGGTCCTCCTAAATGGGAAATACAATCTGAAGGTAAAAATGGATGCTTTTGGCGCGAAAACGAGAAATTCAAATTTCCAAAAATAAGACGTTTACTAAGTGATTTCCAGGAATCTAGCATCCTTAACAAAATGATTGCATTAATTTACTTTTATTTTCTATTGTATTCTTTTCAACTACCATTTGTACTTCAATTTATATTATTCATCATTGAATTAGTGAACTAAATTATCACATAATATTGAGTGATTAAAGCAAAAACTTAATATAAAGTTCAATAGTTAAAAATCAATACGATCTGTTGACATTCTTTTATATCATTCAAAGGAATTGTCTCAGTAAGAACAATTCATGATCATACGTTAGTATCATATGGTTTTTGGACTTGATTTATGAAATTTACAATATCTTGTGATCTAGATAATGATAATCATTTAGTTAGTTTACAACAGATAAGTAATCAGAACAGTAGCTAAAATACTTGTCTATCAACTATAGTACTATATCAACTAATGATAGGGAGTGAAGTAGTTGAGTGTGTCAACCGCTTCATTTATTGGCCTTTGTGGTCTGGTGTGTGGCGAAATCTCAGCATAGATAGAGAAGGCACGACTAGCTTTTGCCAACTCGTTTATGGCGTAGGAGATATCCGTCAATCAACTAGAGAACGGGTTTACTGAGCAGCAGTTCGTTCTGTCCTACTTTATGGCTGTGAAACATGTCCAGTAAGAGTAGAGGATATTTGTAGGTTACTAGTATTCGATCAAAGGCGTCTTCGGAGCATTGCTAGTATATCCTGGGACCAATGAGTAAGTAATGTAGTTGTTAGGAAACGAGTACTAGGTAAGGATGGCAGATCAATTGATAAAGTATTGAGACTTCATCAGTTAAGATGGCTAGGACACGTGTTACGTATGCCCAACTACCGATTGCCCCGACGTGCGATGTTTTATGGTGTAGGAGTAAGTTGGAAGAAAGCCAGAGGCGACCTGACCAAAACATGGCATAAATCCATCAAGTCACTGACAAGTGGATCGAGTCATGTTGGTATGTGCAGACTACCTGGTTAGGATTCGCGAGATGATAGCGACTGATCGTTAGAGACCTTGAATGACATGACTCAAAATCGTTTACAATGGTTTGCGCAGGTGTGTATTCACTCTTTGTGTTCTCCCAAATTCTAGTCTTCTGAATTTTTGATGTCCCTTTCTTTTTTCTCTTTCCAAATTTATTTCACTCGATTATACTCCTTGGATAATATCTTCAAACCCTAGTCTTTCGGATTACTGCTTATACTCTTACTATCTCTACCCCTATGGGATTTGAATGGACAACTGCATCTCTGCGCTAATGTGGTATGGCAACTCGAACTGATGTATGTATGTACGTACGTACGTATGAAAGTTCTACGTTGTTACTAACTGACTGACTGTCTATCAACTGTTAGGTCGTATTTTCGAATCGCCTACTCCTAATATGATTTAACCAGTCGGGTAATATTGTTCACCTCTAACATACAATCAATAGTTTATAGTTATATTTTGAAAACAAGCAACAATAATTAGATTTATGTATACCGTGTTACAATTGGATCAGCAGCATGATTAGGACCCCAACGACCAAGGACACCACGTCCAGTGATTCCCGTACGTCCACAAGGATTTAATGGTAATCCATCAGTACTGAATTTATACTGACCCATAAAACTTGTTCTATCAAGTATTCCGTCAATTTTATTAAACTGAATAGCTTTATATTTTCCATCACTAACAATAAAAAAAGAATTTTAAGTATACAGATGATAGGTATCATTACCAAGGTTTGATTTGATAATTTCGAATAAATTGAGCATTGAGTAGATTGCTATAAATAAATAGTATATTTGTAATATCCCAATGAGTAGAAAATCTAATTTTTCTACTCATTGGGATAGTATAAATATACTATTTATTTATACAGATGACAGTTATTTTGAAGTGGTTTTGCATTTTAACTCCGCCTGGAGCCCCTCTGGGGCTGCTGCCGGTCCCAAGGCCGGATAAGGGAGGAGGCTTGGGCATGGGGTTAGAGACCCCATCCCGTAGAGAACTAACTCGCTAGAAATACGCTAACCAAAAAAATTAATGATGCATACACTAGTACGAGCAGCCTAGAGTTCCGATAGGTCTTTTTTCCGCCTAGCCCTATCTGTTAAGTCCAGAACGTCAATCTCAACCTCCGCGATACGAATCGTATGTTTCAAACATACTGAGATTATATATAAAAAACCAGACCATATCACACCGTAAAGTAGAAAATAATATTTGTACAAGATCTAGCCAGATGTGACTGTGATTGTGAGAAGCTGTTACTAACAAACTGGGGATATCTCAAGAATAGCAAATCTTATTATAATGGTCAATAGGTCAAATAAAAGCTTATAATTAAGGGAATATGAATTCACATATAATACATTCGCCTAATAATCATACAATAAGAATATACGTATAATATTAGTCCATAGGTAATTCTTAACGGTTACCATTCATTTATTCTCGTCCGGATATAACATATACCATTTAGTAATTACATTATGATTGAGTCAATGAGTTTCGTTGTTTAGTACTTAAAACTGTCCAACTTTAAACAGATTGTAACAGAGTAAAAGTTGCACTTTATTGGCTGAACTTAGGTTTCTTTTAATTTTATTTACAAATCTAAAATCAGATGTTATAATAATACAGTTCGATGACAAATAATTTTACTTTTATGATCAGAATAAAATTGTTTGATTTTTTCTTTTTCTAAAAAGGTTATAATAAACTCATGCATACGAAAACTAAGAGAAGGAAGTAAAGATGAATCACCTTGATATTCTAATAGAAATTATCTATATTTACTAACACAATAGATAACCTATGATTGGTTGTTGATTATTGTATATTTGTGATTCCCTAGAGTACAGATTCGACTTGGGATGATAAAACTGAAGGTTTTGAAATCCACTCTACCAATTACTACATTCCTAACTGTCAGAAAGTTAACATAACTCGATAAGCAGGCAGTGTCACAGCCTCCATAGAATAGTATAGCTTAAAGTCTGCTAGATTGACATGTACTTATTTTTTACTATTTATTTATTTATTTTAACACATAGATATTGGTACAAGGAGGCACCAAATACATATGCGCCACACAAATCTCACTTGATGTGTGAGGGTGTGATACTGCCCGGGTGCCCAAATCGAAGCTGGTATTTTTACTAAGTTTTAGTCATAGTCATAGTAAATAAGAAGTAAACTTGAGTAGTATGGTTAATTTTTTAATTTGCAAACTAGTTTATAATGCTATTTGTGACCATTAATATATAGCATGAAGCAAATGTGCGTTATAATAGTTGTAATAACGACGGATTTAATCAACATTGTCAATTTTGCTACAGTAAAGAATTAATAACATCAATTGTGAAGGATTGCAACAAATTTCAGTTTAACATAGATTTAAATTACAATGAATTAAAAAAATATTTTACAAACATTTTTGATGGTTAGAATCTGCTACTCAACTATTCACTCTAATCTAAAACAAGATAGTTGGAAAACACGTAGCTGAAACGGTTTATCAGACCCTCAACTATGAAGTAGTTTAATTTGTGGTGTCACATCAGTATAGAAAGATCAAGGTAACCAGCTTAATAAAAAAATGAAATAATAGTAGTTTCAATAGTGAAAAAGACTAATGGATGGAAGATACGGTCAAGAAATAGTGGATGAATTCTAGAAACAATACTTTGATGAACAATAATATCAAAAATATATTTCCAAAAATAATACTCAACTGATTATCCGGATCAGCCCATGGCTTTTTAGATATTCCTGGGGCTGTGTACGCTACCGGATGATATTCAGGCCAAGATAGATTCCAACTGACTTTATCATCAGGAACAGGATACCTTTGTATGTCGGAAGTGCGAGGGTATGGAGAATTTCTACATTTTACATGCAGATTGGCCACAGTTACAGATGCCATTTTTGAAATGTCGACAGTCTGAAAAACAAGTCTATGTAAGAAAAACACTGATAGTTTGAAGAACCAACCACTTCCCAGTTACAATAATATTGTGTATAAAGCAGAAAAACTAAATTCGTTAATAGCAACAAACAATACATCATAATTTAAAAAATCAGTCCACCTATAAATGACAAGAAAACGTGAAATCTAAATATACTGTGAAATTAGCTTATTAGGAACTTTGAAACAACCACATTAATGAAACTTCTGATTGTAAATAGCTTGCTTACAGTAGTTAAGGTACTAACTCGATGGAAAATTTAAATGGAAATTTCTTTTGTAGTTATAATGTTTAGGACAACTTGTAGATCTAATCATGCGTGTGGAATTGGTTACTCAAGTTAGAATAATAACAAGTGTTCGTTTAATCAACTAGTTTAGCTCTAGTCGGTCATCATAAGATTTGGCACAACTATGAATTGATTCCAAGTCCCTATATCTTATACTAACACACATAGAGGAAATCAACAGAGAGATAACTAATACACAGGAATCAGTGTGAAATGAAATGGAAAAATATTTAAAAGGAACAAATGAGATGAAATAAGTTATGAGTGATACCGTTAAGTCGTTCATTAACCGATCCTTAATGCTTAGTGTTTTTCAGACACGCATTCAACTAGTCTCCAAAAGCAGAACAGGGCTTAGACAAGTTCATAATTACATTCAAAATAAACTACATTAAGTGGGAATGAATTACAGTAAAAAACCTTAGTATATTTATAATTTTACACGAGAATACCCTCATCTCCAATTAACCACTAGCGCAAGTCGACTAGGAATGGGACGATCAACGTGCTCAAAGGCAATCATGCATGGGATATGCTTTAATTTAATATATATTTCGCTAACATAATTAACTCAATACTTAAAGAAAGACTACTGCAACTGACTCGGTACTATGTAACTCAACGTCCTCAATTATTCCTTAAAAGTACTGTCGATCATGTAGAACGTCTGCACCTACGAGATAGCTTAGAACATCAGTCAATAATTTCATGAACTGATACTGTGATTGATGTTCAACTGCTGCTAGGACTTTTCCGATTTGTATTTCTTGCGACAAGATAGAGAGCGACTTTGATGATCTGTGCTGTACATTGATAATCTCATAAAAATCTGGGTCTAAGCCAAAAGGTGGATTTTTTATTAAATCTAAAAGAAACACAGAACCCAATTCGCGAGTGTATTTTTAAAATAATTTCCGCTTCCTATGACATAACAAGTGGGCATCAATTTATCATAAGGTTAGTCTGATGAGAAGTATAGTAGGTGCTGATCAGCTCAACTCGATATAAAGCAGCAGTTAAAAAATTGAAAAATTCGACCAGTTTATTAGAACAGTCTGCGGATTTGAAATAAAAAAATTTAGGTTTATAATTTTAGTTTAAACTATAGTTTAAGCTTTATAAAGCTTGGATAATATAACTGAATGTTTCTAACTACTGTTGCGCTATTTCAATACTTACAGATTAGTTACAGTAACATTATATTCAGCTAATTCTATAACAGTGAAACTTTAGTCAGTTGATAAGTGACATTTTATTATATTGAAAATATTAGTATGCTTTACATAGAAACATGTTTTGTATATACGGTGTCACTTTGTGGAGGCCATGATCTACATTCGAGTTGTGTTTGTAAAGTTACATTAATGCGCTGTACATCGACTGCACATCTGTGCACTTACCGATCTAGGCAATTTTGAGTGCATTTCAAAGTTTGCACCAAAATTCAATGTACAAAAACAATGAAAGTGCTAAAGACAATCTACAGGCTATTTAAATTATGGATAGTATTCGAGAATAAAGTGGAAAATGCTCTTTACTTTTTCTTTGAAGATTCAAGTTCATTTTAAGATCGTTGATTTAGTAGATTAAACGTGGATATAAGTACGTTCCGATTCTGTGGTATACGAAGAACTCTTAGACCCACTAGCTTTCATATCCGCATTACCATGAATGCTCAGATTCTTTTCATGCTCTTGTCAAGTTTTGGATTCGGGGAGAAACTTTCTTATGTTCATGCAATTTTTAAGTGACAACTATGACTAAGCACACTTGTTCCAAAATCGACTTATTGTGTACTTTATTAAACATTGGTTTTAGTGTACTGGTTAAGTCGCAAAGCCAAATCACCGACCTAACCTAACCTCGCTTCCAAAGCAGTTCCTGGTCTCAATTAATGGAGAATTATGATCATGGAATATGGATGCCTCTAGGTATATCATCACCAAATTCGATAAAAATAAACTAGGAGTTAGTTGGTAAGCGTAGGTGATAGCACGCTCATTTTGTCTTCGCTAGCTCCTTAGACGTGGGTTTTTTTACTTTTACACATACCACTTATTCACATACAAGTTTTAGAAGCAGTTTCAGTTCTTATCACAATGACAATTACACAAATTAGTTTTGGCAACTTCGCCATAATATTCTGAACAGTTTTCTTTATCAGATTCTAAATAATTTAGAGGAATGATAATATGGAGACTAGAGGTCTGGTTAAACATGGTATATTGTGGCGAGTTAAACTATGTGCTTCTAGTCTCGATTCCAAGACATAATCCAAGACTTGTGTTATTTCTAGATTTCGTTTATTGATTTTCTTGATGAATGTAAGTGCACTGTGTGTGTTTGCTGAGTCGTTGATCAATATTTTCTTTTGTTCTTCTACTTTCCAGCCCTCCTCACTCGCGCTACTCCTCATGCTCTCCTGGTACACAAAGTAAATTCTGGTTAGACGCGTAATCGCTACACAGGCAATCCCATAGACACCTGGAAGGAATGTTCTACCAATGTTCTTAGCCTATAGGAAAGGTACGTATACGCTGAAACGATTATTTGTATTTACAAAATATGGTGCTGATACACAAATGGCTGTCTCCCTTTTCTGTCGAATATATTTGAGCCTTTATTTTGTAGACTTTACGGGGTCTTCAATAGGTCTGTGGAGATAGGTCTGACAAGCTTACTTTGTAAATAGTTTTTAATGTTATTGGTATTTATTTTGTCGATTTCTCACTACATGTACATTAATCATTAAATGATTGTACCTGTTGTTTCAGTAAATGACCTTGAACACTTTTTCCGTTGTGATACTAACATAGCGTGACTTACCGTTGCTGGCTAACAAATACACTGCTTCTCACACATTCCTCGTTCTATTTTCATTCATGATTGGATTAACTGAGATCTAAAACAAATATTATTTACATTCATAGGCTGTCAGTGCAAATACACCATACTTTACTTTGGATTACACCACTGGAGAGTTCATCGATACGTTTGGAATTACCAAGCATATATAATTGTGGATTTATTGTATCAGATTAAAGCTGAACACGCATCATATTGGGTGAACTTAAGTAAAGTCCCATTTTTATTGTATTTGTAACATTTAACTGGTATATATTGATATTACTATTGATTTTTATTAACTTTGTTGATACTTTTCGCGTTTATATATCGTCTGGTCCACCACAGGCCTCGTTTCCAGCGAACTGTCTAGCTTCCTTGTGATAGAATTGCCCGATAAGATATGAAACCGATTCAGCGTTCAAGACACGATTTAAAGAGGTGCCTTGCATAAAAAATCAGCATCAATACCATTTGTTTGTCACATTCCACTGGACCATAAGGAGCCGTAATTAGACAAAATGTTCTGCCTACAGGCATGGGTCGTATGAAGTTATCTCCCCATCATTATGATCGCCGGTCATTAACGCCACCCTCCATTCTTTTGTGATGTTAGGCTCTCTTACGTCTGTGGTAAGTATGAATATTGCTTAAATTAAAACCCATTGTAATGACCGAACTGCCAGTATTCGGTTTGAACGCAGGACTGACGAACGAAAACGTATTCGAATAGGCCAGACTACGTTCTTCTGTATGGCTTACAAAACGCTTTTGAGACACTCGTATTAAGCTATATCAAAACACAAACTCCGTTCTCAATTTAAACTGTTCTTATTTAGGAAATAGAACAAATTATATGAGAAATACAAAATACTTCAAACGGTACAGCCTGTGCTATACAGTCAGAAGTTTCTCTGATGCAAAGTAGCGCGCTAAGCAACAAAAGAAACAGTTAATACTAAAGGGTACAATACCTGAGAATCAATAAAATATTCCCAACAAGGTGGGATCAAATATCTATCTGCAGGGATTCCAGCAATCCTCCGAAGCAGACAGTCAAAAGGTTAACAGTCACACACTGAATCACGCCGTGAACTTGAGCTTAGTTAAACACGACCATACAGTCAATAGTCCGGCAACATGCAATAGAAAATTGAATAACAAAACATAAATTTTTAATCAAAATCACACAATGAAGGTTCAGACAAGGAAGACTGAAGAACAAAAGGTGTGGTTAAACGAGATCTGGACAAAGGTTAAAATACACGACAGGGAGAAGAAAATAATAAATGACAGTACTGTCCAACAAAAAAGGTGCGGAGGGATGTTCACCGTTCTTTTTCCGTTACAGCCATAGTTGGAATACACTGTCTCTACTAGTCCCATGTTACAATCAAATCAGATGGCTGAAGCATTTGTATTATGGGTTAGACATTCATTCGGTATATCACACCGCTATGAAGATAAATAATGGTAAAAGTGAAAAACAGGTCAGATTATATGTGATTTAAAGATGATAAGGACTAACAGCAAGATCAAAGGATATGAAATAGTATAAGATTGTAAAATTCTCAGGGTAAGCAAAATAAAATATTGAGCAACTCACAAGACTTTAGGACATTTTGTATGATCGTATGATCGGCATTAGTAGATTAGGCATCCATAAGATTAGTGAGTTATCCGTCTACTTGCAATAGAAAAAAAGGACATGACACTTAGGAATAATAATGAACCTTTAACCATTAGAGAGATTTGAGAACTGAAAGTGAGAGTTAGGAGTATAAGGTCATGATTTATAATCAATGAATAATCGGGGAGAGTAAACCATGTGTTCTGTAATTTAGTTATATTCATATTAATAACAATGGGGTCCGTTATATTCTTGTTCCATCTAGATATTAGGCGGTCCATAACAAAGTACCTCATCAGAGGGCGGAAGTTCAAGGAATAGTTGGAGCTCTTTAGAGTCTAGTAACAGGGTTATTAACCTTCTGAATTTAGTAAAAGTGTCACAGTTACGGATAGGTATTGGCAACCTGTTCCACAATAAACTATACCGCACTGTAAAAGACTAACAACGCATTTGCCTTTGGTGTTTTACGGTAATTAGTGTATATGCGTTGTTTCTTGGTCTGTAGGCTGGGTCATGGATCATAGTTGGGCAGGAGGTTAGAAATAAGAGCACACATATTGCTTTATAGAGAAATATTAGATTGTTCTTTAGCCTACGGTGCCATAAAGGTCCTAAAGATAGATGCTTACATCTGTCTGTGTAATCGAGATTCTAGTTACATCCTAGTAGTTGACGTGTGAAGCGTCTATAAACATTTTCTACTCTTATCTTGTCTGTGGTATTCGTATTAAAGAAGACAAAAGAGCGATATTTAAGAGAAGGTCGTACACATATTTTGTAAAGAGTAAGTTTGGCCTCTGTTGGTAAGAAATTTTTCCGTCTAGATTCAGAAATAATAGATGAGGCATGTTCTTCAAAGTTCAGGCTTCCTGTGTATTTAATTCCGAGATCGTGTACTGATTTGAGTGTTTGGACTCTACATTCATTTAAGTGAAGTTGTGGTTTATAGGGGTGTTTACCAAAGTGCAAGATCCCGTACTTGTTAGGGTTAAATGGTGATTTCCATTTTTCACTCCATATGGTTAAGTTATCGAGGTCATTTTGAATCGGGGACACACTTTCACTTAGAGTCTCAGGCTTATAACTGTATGCTATTTTGAGATCATCAGCATATAAGTATGGTTTCCCAAATTTTATGATGTTACATATATAATTTATATACATAAGAAACAAGAGTGGACCTAATACGCTTCCCTGGATGACTCCACCAGTTATTGGTCTAGGAGATGAGAGACAGTCCTTGTAGTTTACCATCTGTTTTACGTTCTGTTAAGAACGAAGCAAACCATGAGTACAGTGGGTTGTGTATTCCGAAGGACTTTAGTTTGACGAGTTGCCTTTTGTGTGGGACCTTATCAAAGGCTTTCTTAAAGTCTAAGAATAGGACTGATACAAAGAGTCCGTTGTCTCGTTTCAAAGTTATATCATTCAGGTAGTCTACTAGGCATGTATTGCATGATCTGAACCTAAGAAATCCGTGCTGGGAGGTCGAGATGAGATTATTACCAAGTAGATGTTGGACTACCACCGCCTTAACTACTTTTTCCATCACTCTGGATACCACTGAAGTTATGTTTTTGGGCCGGTAATTTTCAACATTTGCTTCGGGTCCTGTTTTAATTTTGGGAATGATATGTGTAGTTTTCCAGGCATTAGGGTAACACGCTGTAGAGAGTGATATCGCGAATAGTTTGAGAAGCAAAACACACATATCATCAACTCCACTTTTTAGCATGCTAGCCGGAATACCACAGGAAGGTACCGAGATTGGTTCTGAATCATTTAGTGGTTTTTCGTTGGTTAATGAGGAACGAAAGTGTTCACTAAATAGTTCCGTAAAAGTTTGGGATCTTCGTATACTTGTTTGCCTTTAATAAATATGTTCTTTCTCGATTCAGAACGTTTAAGTTTATTATGAAGAAGTATGGTAAGTGCAAAGGACTGGCA